AAATATATGTTCATCAAATAAAATCTAATGTTACAACTAATCATGGATCCCTTTAAATGATCAGCCTAAAAATTTGCTTGCAAGTTCACATCATAGATGGTTCTGCTCCTGCCTGAAATGCCCTGTTGCTAGATCAGACCTCTTTAGCCCTTATTTTTAACCCTACAATCTACAATGTCAAACCGTTTGCACAGCAGGTCCCACGTAAAATATGCACTGTGGCCTCGCACTTTTGACCAATCAGCAGATCAATCACAGCAAAGTGGGATTTTTTTAAAGGTGCTTAAAAGGCAGGAACTAATGGTATTGTACAAAATGACTAAAGTACAAGAAAAATAATGAAGTGAACACATTTATGTCTAAACCTGCACTGCTTGACACCAAATTAAAGCCTGTGAACTAAATTGGGCTCTCTAACCAGTGCACTTTGCAGATTTCAGCTGTTGCTACAGTGACCTGTATTTCTTGCTTTAATTCGGTCTCGGGTTTTATTCCTTGTTTTCATAAAATATTATGCAGAAATAGGTTGAGCAGACATCTAAGAGGTCTTTTTTTTAATAAACTGTCTTGTCTCATTTTTGAACATTGTCTGAGACTTTGCTAATAGAAATGAGAGCAAATCAAGAGGGACGAGAAAAAGATGAGTGGTGGAAAAGAACAAGAGGGGCGCCTGTGTAGGAAACGCCACGGAAAGCGCAAGAGGAGGGATGATTGAAACAGAGGCTGGTGAAGGAGGCACTATCGATATGAAGTGGGAGAGAGGGAGAAAGTGCAAGAGTGGGGGAATTAAAGAGGAGAAAGGGAGAGGGTGGAGAGGTAATTTTCTAAATGGAAACTATGGCGGGGTGATTTATTGACGATATGACAGCTGTAATATGACTATTACACAAGTATGGACACAGAAAAGGAGGGAGACTGAGAAAGAGAGGATAAGGACACAAGTTCTGGAGATAGAGGGCAAATGTGCAAAGTGCAGAAAGTGAGTATGTTTAAGCAAATACTTTGTGAATTTGCTCCTCTTCACCAGGAGTGGAGTTGCTAGTTCAACTGTTTAAAAAGATCATTGAACTTTTGAATGTTTTACAATCATATTGTTTGAATAYACAAACTCTGTATTGTTTTTTCCCTCTCTTTGCCTTCAGCTGAGTGTGGTTCTTCTGTTATAAATAATGAAGGGATACTACTGTCTCCAAACTACCCAATGAACTATGATAACAACCATGAGTGCATCTACAGTATCCAGGTAACATTGTAAATCTTAAAGCCTTTTGGTAACTGTTCAAAAAGTTTTTATTTAGTAAATACTTGGTTTATGATCCTACCAATAAGACTAGGCAGAGACACTATTTTTTGCAGAATTTAACATCAATATTCAATTTTAAAATAAGCTACAAACTAATTGCATTAACAAAGCGATTTGAGCCCATACGGTCCTGTTCTGTAAACCTAATCTGTATTCTATGTTGACTCCAGGTTCAAGCTGGGAAAGGCATCAACATCTCTGCTAGAACCTTTCATCTTGCCCAGGGCGATATTCTCAAAGTAAGCACACTCACATACATTCTATGTCATCCATCTTACCTGATATTTGTTCCTTCTACCGGTCATAGGTTCTTTAAAAAAAATGGTTCATTGTTGTTGTTGTTTTTTCTCTAATGCCATGTATATCATGGGATCACTGTACTGTTGTTGTTGCAGATTTATGACGGCAAAGACAACACAGCCCAGGTTCTTGGAGCATTTACTGGGTCCTCCATGTTGGGCCTCACTCTGATTTCCACATCAAACCACCTCTGGTTGGAGTTTTACAGTGATGCGGAAGATACTGGAGAAGGATTCAAACTAGTCTACTCAAGTAAGTTTGTCATAATGTTTTCTGTTGGCTTTAAGCAATTCTGCCCCCTGAGCAATTTAGTGAATAGCTCTGTATTAATGTTTCAAAATAAGCTGCTTTAAAGTTGACCATAAACTGCATTTCCCATAATGCATGTATGTAGAAGAGAGTTTAGAATTTGAAACTTACCATAACTCAAAAGTGAGTAAAACTCTTTTATTTTTACTTTTAATTTTACTTCTGTGCTATTCATTTCACATTTAGTCATTCRTACACACAGTGCTTAGTGGTTATAAGAGAGTATTAAAACAGTGTTTCTATGCAAGAAATACCACGGAGAGTTCTGTTATTGTTTGTTAGCAGTGTTTAGCCGTAGCAATCAGATGAGGAATGTGATGTTTCCTGTTTGGTCGAAGTTCAACACCAAACTGAAGTTAATTACAAYTGGCCCKTTGAGGACCAACATAATGCTCATGTGGCCCTTGGTGAAAATGAGTTTCACACCCCTGGACTATATAAATTCATCCTCTGTACACTGATAATATATTCATCCTAGCCAGAGGACACTCTCTATCATCGATGCCCACATCTAATAAATTACATTTTAGATTCATAAACKTAGTCTGTCCACAGCTTTCATTGCAGTATTTGGATCTATTTCTGAAAACCTGTGTATGTACCAGGTAAATAAACAGAGGCCCAAGTTTCACACTCTGAGTTGTATTAATAATGTAGGGATTGTCATGCTTTGGAACTGCTGAATTGATTGTTTTAGCTAGCAGGCCAAATTAATATTATTATTTTTATTATTTTTGCTTAACAATTTGCAGTAAAGAAGTTCCACATACTTAAAACAGTGTGCT